CAAAACTAGACTTTGATAAATATACTATATAACTCTAACATATAAAATTATATCAAGTATGTTAGCAAGATGGCAAAACAAAATACCATAGGCCCTAATAGCTTCATAGACATATATATGTAACAACACACTGACTAAAATGCCTGTTTGGGAACTCTATAAATGAGTTCAGTGTTTCCAGGCCCCCAGCTGAGGACAATGCAAAAAGCCACATAGAAGGGGAAGGAGTTTGTTACATTTATCCAAGGCACCCTTTCCTGCTTTGCAATACAGCATGGTGCCTTTAAGAGTAAACTGCCAACTCCTGGCCACTTCCTCAAAAGAGAAAGATGATTTTCACAAATGTATGCTTACTTCTGGCTTAGGGGGATGTTTCCAAAGATGGGTTTCAGTCTCTTGTGAAACAGGCTACTGAAAAGAATGGTGGGATAAACTGGAAAGACAGCTTGGGTATGCTGCGATCAATGGTAAATGATTGTTACAGCAACAGAGAGACTGAACTACTACAGACAGTTCAAATGTGTAGGAAATGATTACAGCCTTTTAAGAAGAAACATGGAATTTAACTGAAAAATAATCACACCATTCCAGACATATCCTAACCACAGATTTGAGAGGCTCTCAGGATGTCTAGCACAGACAATAGGTTTCAGACTGTCAGGATGAAACCACATTATAAAGATTGTGACATGTAGCTTTTTCTTATTGTAAAAAATCTCAACCAAGGAATACAATGTGTACAAAATATGACGACAACGTGGTCCAATAAAAAAAATTTAAAATTACAGAAAGCAAACATAAAACATGGAGATGTATAAAATAATTTTAAAAATTCAAAATAACCTGAATAATGCTCAAAAATCAGAGAATGAGATTATCAACAAAAAGTTAAAGTAGCAAAGAAACAAATTGTGGAGGTGAAAATTACAAGAAGAAATAATGACTGGGAAATTCTCAAATGTAACAAAAAGGGATGGAAAAAATCAAGAAGCTCAACAAACTCCAACTAGAGTACACACAAAGAAATTCATAGCCAGACACATATACAAGAGCAGATTTTAAAAGTCAAACAAGCTGAGACTATTGAGAGCAAGAGAAAAGTGATGTGTCATTTGTAAGTGTGCTCCTATGACCATGACCATTGAATTTGTCCATGAAAACCTTGCAGACCAGAAGGGAATTATGACATATGGTCAAACTGCTGGAAAAAAACAAAACTTTCAAGCAATGCTAAGATAACTTTCAAAACTGTCCTACAAAATGAAAAATATAATAACCTTCCTAGAAAACCAAATGCTGCAAAGTGTATCAGCACTATACCTGCCTCATAAGAACTAATGAAAGGAATCACTTTCATTTAAAAAAATGATGCTAGAAAACAACACATAATTACATAAAAACATATACTTATCTAGAACATACGTGCACATACACAAAAATAAAATTCTGTAGCATTAGCATAATGATGTTGTAAACAGTTTTAATTATTCTCTAAAATTTTAAAGATAAAAGCATAAAAATAACCATAAATATCTGTCAATGTGTATTTAACATAAGATAAAATTGATATCTGTAACATAAAGTTGAGGACAAATATAATAAGGAAAAATTT